TGAGTTCGCTGGTCTTCGCTGTATCAAGGCTTACCACGAGGCTCGTGATGGAGATAAGCGAAAGGTCTGTCTTATCCCTGTTTCTGCTCACGGTACCAACCCTGCTTCTGCTGCCATGGCTGGTATGAAGGTTGTTACTGTCAAGTGTGACGGCAAGACTGGTAACCTGGATATCGAGGATCTCAAGGCCAAGTGTGCCAAGCACGCTGATGAGCTTGCTGCTATCATGGTTACTTATCCCTCTACGTTCGGTGTCTTCGAGCCTGAGATCAAGCAAGTCTGTGATCTTGTCCACGAGCATGGCGGTCTTGTCTACATGGACGGCGCCAACATGAACGCTCAGATTGGTCTCTGCAGCCCCGGTGACATTGGTGCTGATGTCTGCCATCTCAACCTCCACAAGACCTTCTGTATTCCCCACGGCGGTGGTGGTCCCGGTGTTGGCCCTATCGCTGTCAAGAAGCATCTTGCTCCTTACCTCCCCGGCCACCCTGAGATCGATCCTCAGCGCATTGGTGCCGAACGCGATAGCACAGCTGTTGCTCCCATCAGCGCCGCTCCTTGGGGTAGCGCCTCCATTCTCCCCATCAGCCACACCTACATCCTCATGATGGGCGGAGATGGTCTTACCAAGCAAACTGGCACCGCCCTCCTCAACGCTAACTACATCATGTCCCGTCTCCTACCCCACTACAAGGTCGTCTATACTAACGCCAACGGCCGCTGCGCGCACGAGTTCATCCTCGACGTTCGTCCCTTCAAGGAGACCGCCGGAGTTGAAGTTGCCGACATCGCCAAGCGTCTTGCGGACTATGGCTTCCACTCTCCCACCATGAGTTTCCCCGTTTCAGGAACCCTTATGATCGAGCCCACGGAATCCGAGTCCCGCGCTGAGCTTGACCGTTTCTGCGATGCTCTCATCCAGATCCGACAGGAGATTGCTGACGTTGAGTCTGGCAAGGTTCCCCGCAAGAACAACCTCCTCACAAATGCTCCCCACCCTCAAGAAGACCTTCTCTCTTCCGAGTGGGACCGCCCCTATACTCGTGAGGAGGCTGCTTATCCCCTGCCTTGGCTCCGGGAGAAGAAGATGTGGCCCTCTGTGGGACGCGTGGATGATGCTTATGGTGACACCAACCTGTTCTGCACATGCCCCCCTGTTGAGGGATCTGAGAACTTATAGATAAAAAGGAAGAAGTAATGGTTTAACGATAGATATTGGACGGGTCATCTAAAGCGATTGTTTTTATTTATTTATTTTAACGGGAAAAGATATATCATATTCAACCATGATGGGTCCCTGACATGCATATGGATGGAATGGTTTTTGGGAAGCTATTCAACCACGGCGAACTGATCTCTGTATTGGCGGAGTTGTGCGAGATATGATGAGTTTAGAATAAAAAGTTCTAATTATATATAAAAGTTAGGAAGCCTGGTCTAAACTCCTCACATTTAACCTAAACTTTTATTATACTTATCCTAAGTTTAGGATACTATTCCTAAGTTTAGGATGTTCACAAATTTACAAGCAATCTTTTGTTGAGAGTGAAGTGGTCTGTAGGATAACACTTTATGTTCCAAGGTTGGGCCATTATTATGATCAAACATGTACATGATCTACGGATTGTGCCTCTGAACACTGAAAATGAATGCGTAAAATCTGATATCATTTGCTTTTAAATCAACAATTATTTAATCTAACCAAAAATCATCGCTTAATGCTCCTCAAGGTGCTTAGCATAAGCAGCCTCGTCCATCAATGAATCAAGGGCAGAAACATCCTCAGCCTCAACCTTGATCAACCAGCCCTCGCCCTCAGGATCCTTTCCAAGATCAGCAGGTGTGTCGACGATAGGATCGTTGACGGCCACAACAGAGCCTGATACGGGGGAGTTGATGTCAGAGGCAGACTTGACGGACTCGACGCTGCCGAAAGACTCGCCCTCAGAGACATCCTCGCCCTGAGAAGGAAGTTCTACATAGACAACGTCGCCGAGAGCTTCAGCAGCGTAGTTGGAGATGCCAATTGTGCCTGGGATCGTCAATTCATGAGCCTTATTAGTCCAAAAAAGGAACTTACAGGTCTTGCCGTCGGCGGCGACGTCAACCCACTCGTGGCTCTCAGTGTATTTCCTTGCGAGGACTAGAGTCTGTTAGATCTGATTGAGCTTCAAAAAGGAGGCAGAACTTACGGTTAATGGAAACTGAGAGGCATCGTCGGGGAGCAATGCTATTGACTTTGCAGGCAAAGGCAGTCTTGGGAGCTCGAAGAGCAGTAGATCGGAGCTTAGAGGCAGAAGCCCAAGCTTGACGAGCAAAGAGACCAGACATTGTGAGTGGGTGAGTGGGTGAGTGGGTGAGTGGGTGAGTGAGGATAAGGATGAATTGAGGTTGAGTGAGTGAATGAATGTGAATGTCTGTGGTGATGTTGACGATGGTTGATTTTAGGTGACCTACTCCCCATTTACGATCCCTAGCACTTCTCATGCCCCGTCTTCGGCGGCGGTCCGGTCAAGTACCTCGGAGTCACTATCCGGCCCCAGCTCAAGCGGCGTCTCGTAGCGTCATAACAGTTGGAGAATCAGGTCATGAGCGCTACTTCAGTGTACCCACTGCTTAAAGTAGCGGTACCGCTTATCTCGCCAAAAAGTTGTCATGATGGGCGGTGTAACCAGCTTTAGCCGCTTGTGAAAGGTACTAGCTACTGGCATCTTTCACTGAGTCAAGTACCGATAACCCCAGATCCAGATCCAGGAGCCCTGAAATGTTTATGTTTTTTTTTGTTTTTTTTTGGGTATGCGGGGAAGACTTGGAATTCCGAGGAGTGAGATATTCGGAGTTTGACTACGGAGAATGAAGTGCAAGGCAGTTTTATCATGTAATTCTAGTCAATTGGGTCGGTTGCTACTGGAGGAAGTTGTCATCAAATTTGCATGACGACTGAAGTGGCGGTTATTACACAGTCGTGCGTGATCATGGTCGAAACAGCTTAACTTCCAGCACTCTAGGCTACTAACCCATCATGATTACAACATGGATGATCAATACAGCTACAACACAGCAAATTTCTTGAGAATCATGCAATAGACTCTTTAAACTCATGTAAATTTTGCTATGATACTATTTTCCAGACGCCAAAAATTATCTTTGCTCTTCATCAAACACATCATGACTTGAGCCAGGGCTGGGGGAACCCTCCAACCCACTCAGCAACCTCATCTCGTAGCGCCTTAATCTCCTTGACATTAGATCCATCACCCAAGAACTCCAAAAAGTTCTTCACAGTACCGGGGTTCTTAGCACCCTTGGCCTCAGCAGCCGCGCGGGCGTCCTTATCAACCGCTAGAGTGATCTGCACACCGCGGTCCACAATATCAGCCACGCGCTTGAAGTCCTCGCCGTTGAAGCCCCGCGTTGTCATGGCGGGTGTTCCGAGACGAAGACCGCCGGGCTTGAGAGCAGAGCGGTCACCAGGAACGGTATTCTTGTTGCTGGCAACGCCGACAAGCTCGAGAACACGTTCGACGCGCGCGCCGTCGACACCCTTGGGCTTGAGATCAACAAGGACGAGGTGGTTGTCGGTACCGCCTGAGACGAGCTTGTAGCCCAGGCCCTCAGAGAGTTGCTTGGCCAGAGCTTGTGAGTTCTCAAGGACCTTTACTTGGTACTGCTTGAACTCGGGTGTCTGAGCTTGGCGAAGGGCAACAGCGAGGGCGGTGATGGTGTGGTTGTGAGGACCACCCTGGTGACCGGGGAAGACTGAAGCGTTGATAGGGCCTTCAAGATCATACATGATCTGCTTGCCCTTCTTGTCTGTGCTTCGAACACCCTTGCGGTAGAAGATCATGGCACCACGAGGTCCACGAAGGGACTTGTGGGTGGTGGTAGTAACGATATCAGAATCCTCAAATGGTGTTCCAATAACACCAGCAGCGACAAGACCAGAAACGTGAGCCATGTCAGACAAAAGGTAAGCACCAGCCTCGTCGGCGATAGCACGCATGCGCTCGTAATCGATCAGACGGGAGTAGGCAGAGGTACCAGCGACGATAACCTTAGGACGGTACAGAAGAGCGTTCTCGCGAAGCTTGTCGTAGTCGATCAGACCAGTCTCCTCGTTCAACCGGTAGGGGAACGTCTCGTAGTACTTGGAGACCATGGAAATCTTCTTGTTAGGGATCTGGTAGCCGTGGGAGAGATGACCTCCGTGGGGAAGATCAAGACCCATGATACGGTCGTGGGTGTTGAGGATAGCAGAGTAGGCGTAGAGGTTGGCAGGGGATCCAGAGAGGGCTGAGGCTGTTAGCGTTGAACAAAGAATTGAACGTCAAGTCGAGACTTACGCTGAACATTGACACCCCATTTCTCAGGGTCAAGACGGAAGGTCTCGAGGGCACGCCTTTGACATAGACGCTCTGCCTCATCGATGTGTTCATTGCCACCATAGTATCGTGCGCCAGGATAGCCCTCGGAGTACTTGTTTTGCATAACACTGCCTAGAGCATCGAGAACGGATCGCGAAGTGAAGTTTTCGGAGGGAATGAGATTGATGAAGTGGTTCTGGCGCTTCTCTTCCTATGACAATGTGAGACTGGGTCAATTGGTACATGGAGAGTGACTTACACGCTTGAGAATGGCGTGGATCTCAGGGTCGCCTTGCTCAAGGTTGGCACCGAGAAGCTGTAGAGTGTTAGGCATTGTTGGATGTAGCTTCATTGAGAACTTACATCTGATTGAGAAGCAAATGTCCTGGTAGTAACACGGCTGGCCAGAGATGGCTTTGTGCGAAGGCATTGCTGCCGAAGGAGCCTCAAGTTCATCATGATGTGTATGATGAGGGGTATCTCTGTATGAACTGAAGGGAAAGGAAAAAGAAGATGAAATTACGATACAGTCTCCAACAACAAGTCCAAGCTAGAGCAGCACAAGATCTAATAAGAATGTCCTTGTCCGCCGCCTTCGGCTCATGAGTTCCATGACCGGAGCATGAGATCAAGATGCCGGTACGTACCTGATGGTCAATGTCACCGAGTCAATCTTATCAAACGTCACTGAGTCGAGATCTAAAGCCGGGGGTGGACAAGTTCCACATGATCCTAGGAGGCTTGGACTTGGAGGGCCGGGAGTGAGTTACCTGACGGTACAAGCGCTATCTCTGAGCCTAGAACACTTTTAGAAGCTGACTCGGTGAACGGGGATGGAAGTGGCTTGGTATAGGGTAGCCAATTCTTCCCGTTACGTACATGCTGTAGTCTATGTGCCTTGACCTGGGCTTGGCTTGACTTGACTTGACTCCCCCACAACAAAAACAAACACGATCCACTCCCCCAAGGCCACGGACGTTGCTTTACGGTTCCAGTCGTTCGTCTCGCTTATTCCGGAGCCTGATTGTGCCTGTGTTCGTGTTCACCCTCTCACTAACCGCGCTGTATTCTACTGCTGTACCCGTACCACCTCACTCCAAGCCAGGCAATCCGCTTGCTTTGTCACCGAGTCTCTTCGGTGGCAAAAAAAGAGGGCTCAATATGTCACCGTCACCAACAAACCCAACCCCAATCCCAAACCCAAACCCCTCCTCAATGCGTCCCGTGCCTATAATCCGCAGTAGGACGGGCTGTTTTACCTGTAGGAAGCGCAAAAAGAAGTGCGACGAGAGGTACCACCAACCACTCTCCAGACAGTCATCTTGACTCGACTTGACTTACGTGACGATGTAGTAAACCAATCTGCAGCGGTTGCAAACGCAATAAGCTCGACTGTGTCTGGCCTGAACCACAGCCTGCCAAGGGACCATCACGGTCTTCATTCGGTGCTGCATCCACAAGCTCACAGCAGAGTGTTGCTTCGCTGAGACAGGGCCACGATGCCGACTCGGTGAATGACCCGGTCATACCGGACCCGGTGCCGGAGGAGGACCGAGCTGCTGAGAATCCCGATGTACCCCAGAATGGCGACAGTTCTCCGGTGCATGGGCATGGGCAAGGGCAAGGGGACACCCACATGGTCGATGCTGAAGCTGATGTGGATATCATCGAAGCTGTTGATGATGTTGATCAGCCATCTCCTTCACAGTCATCCAACTCATCAGACTCACCGACTGTTATCACGGCATGGGATGCAGATACCGCCAACGCTCTCACTCTCGCTCTGCCGCCGTCCCCAGACACAGGACTCTCATTCAATGTCAATGGAGCTATTACTATGCCAATGTCGATGCTACCTGAACAGGGTCATCAGTCATATGAGCTTCTCAGCTACTACCTGTCACGAACAGCCAATAGCATGGGGAACGGTTCCACAGACGTGAATCCCTTCATCGCCAAGCTTATACCATTGGCATTCTCAAAACCTCTCGTGTTACAACTCATCCTCGCTCAGAGCGCTGCACATCGTCAGGCATCAGCAGAGCGACACCCAAGCGATGAGATCGCGCAGAGGTATTACACCGACTCGCTGCGAATGTTTAGGAATGTCGTTGATGAGTATGTATCTGGAAATGCCGAGAACACCCTCGTCTTGACAGTCGGTAGTCTTATTATGTGTTTGACTGAGGTTCGTACCATTGATTCCATGACGCGATTGTTGACTAACATGCTGCAGGTTGCCAAGGGAGATATTCACGGCACAATATTTGACCATCTATCAGCGTCCAAGTCATTAGTGAGCACATTACTCACGGGGACGCAGAACATGGTATACGACGACCTACCTGACTTTCTAATCGAGTACTACATGCATATCGCAGCCACCAGTATGATCTCGATTGATCCCCAGTACAACTCACAGTCATTGCTCAGCCCCGACATTGAAGTCCGGGCCAGAAACTTGGTTGCAAGAAAGTATGTCGGCCAACTATGTGGCTGCTGGCTCGAAATCCTCATCCTTATATCCCAGATCTTTCACCTAGGACAAGTAATGTCGTTACCAACTGCCGATGGAGAGATCTCACCAAGCCCCGACAATATTGTCAATTTCGCTTTCCTCCAATCTCAAGTAATGGGCTTCTTCCCAGATCCTTCCGTCACGCCATACACGCGTCTTGCGGGCCTGGTATGGAAACAAGCTGCCCTCCTATATCTCTGGACAGTCCTCGGGAAACCCCATCAGCAACCTGAAGGCAGCTTCCAACGAGCATTAGTAGAATCAGCCGTCACTGAAGCAGTGGCATTGCTTGATCAGTTCCCCGCTTCGGTCAGGATAAATACGAGTCTTTGCTGGCCACTCGCTGTTATCGGGTGTAGCACGTCAGATCCCACAGTCCAACAGGTCTTGAGGACGCGGTTGCAGACTATGTTGGACACAATTGGGCTGGGGAATATGAGACAAACACTGGTGCTATTGGAGCATATTTGGGAGCAGCCGCCGGACCAAGTCAGTCCTTGGATGCTATGTAGGGCGATGCGTGACCGTCAGATCTGGATATCTTTTGCATGAAAGGACATCATTAATCCTAGATACCCGCCTCCATATTTCAAAATAGAGTCCTTGAGGCACATGCAATTAACATCCCATATATATGACGGCCGCCACTAATATTTCTGACCTCATTATGAGCAGCCAGCTTGGCCGTCGAAAGTGATCCCATTAACGAGCTCATCGTCAAACCATTGTCATCACTTGCGAAGAGACTTGCGTTGGACTTGTTCAAATCAAACTGATTTCTATTGTCTAATTATTTATAGAAGGAACTCCCAAATCTTAGCAGCCACTAGAAGTCCATCGTGATGCGCCCTTGCTCTCGTTATACCCTCCTCATACATCTCCTTCGAGAAGATCTGCTGGGCATATCTGGCCTCCATAATTTCCTGCATGATAAAGTCGTCAAACTCCGGGTGGGCCTGGAACGAGATGATTCTCCCGGGCTTGTAGAGTCCTTGAATCTCGCACCTTGAGCTGCTGCCGAGACTGACCAGGCCTTCGGGAACTTCCAGGACTGCATCTCTGTGCATTTGATGAAGGCCCTGTTTTTTTCATTAGTGAGGGCTCATGGAAAGGATCGATGGTACTTACGAGAGATGAAACACCCAGTAGCTTCTGGCCAGTCTCGTTGAGGTTAATTCTATCAACACAAACCTCCCAACCACCGGGGCTCACCGCAACCTTTGCACCAAGTGCTCGTCCAATGATTTGATGGCCAAAGCAAATGCCAACGATGGGCTTCTCTGTCGTCGTATAAACCTTCTTGACAAACTCAACCAGCTTCAAGATCCAAGGGTCATCAGCAAAAGATGTGTGTTCTGCATCATTTTAGCTTTGTAGGTGTAATTTGATAAAGAAACTTACTGCTTCCGGTTAACAAGAAACCATCAACATCTTCGATGTTTGGGTACTCTTGCGCTGTGACAACATCCCATTTGCTGAGATCCAGGCTCACGTCCTTGCCCTTGTCACCAAGTGCTTCATTCTTGAGGCTCTTGGTAAGAAGGTCACGAAAGATATCTCCATAAGAACCACGCTTTTCATTCACAGAAGGAAAAGGCGTGTCGCACTCTAGAACAGCAATTCTATATGTTCGAGTCATGATGAGGATATTATGTGGTTTAATCAATGAAGGTCAAGAAGGGCTCGTTATCAAAAGATAGAGATATTCAACGCCCTTTAATCTACACAAATATCCCCACCAACAAGGAACCTCATGACCACGTCGTTCACAAAGGATCCTCATTTTAGTAATGTTAGCCGGAATGGCGGAATGTGAGTCTATTGGTGCTTTATTCGGTCCGCGTTCATAGCCGCGCTTTACCGCGCTCCACAGGACCCCATAAGATTGTACACGTTTTGATCTTGAACACCATAGTTGAGGGACTGGCGAGATAAGATCAAATAGTCTGTTTGCAGATCTTATAACGATGGGGCTCTCTGATATTGTTTCTATCTAGGCAGTGAGAGGGCATAATACTGGCTGAAGATGGATCTGTTTACAGCTAAATTCTGATTCTTTCTCTCTCTTTTTTTGTTGAGGCAGATTTCAATGTATCTCCTTCAGGTCTTATTCTTCTCAAATTTCATAAAGAAAGGCGTACGTTATTTCATTCTCATGGAACTAACAACCTATCATCACAATTTTTTTAGTAGTGGTGGCTTGTTTAGATATTGCGACCAGTCTGAAATCGCGATGTTACTTGAGTAACTTGACCGATATCAAGCACAGTATGATGAAATGCAGTCTTTGGAATAGTTTTGTCTTGATCAAAATGACACATGAATTCCCTGAGATGTTTATGTTATATAAATCGTGCATCTTGATGTAATTCATTCAGTTGATGTGAGTCATTCAGCAAGGCGAGCCGTTTTAAGTTTTTTTACTTTAAATTGTATTTATCTGTCTTTTGTTAGCAGCGACAAATCAAGGCCAAGTCACTTTTGATTAAAATACACTATGTAGCTTTCATTTCGGCGGCATGATGGTGACAACCACGGAGAATATATTCATTGGTGTCGTGATGAGAGAGGCCAGGTGAAATATCGATAACAGCTCTAAGATATCAAGTTCAATTCTTTTGTAGATCTCAGATAATACATCACGACTCGAGTTACCTTAGACTGCCCTTAGATATGAGAGTTTTTCTGTTCCGGATCTTGAACTCCAAACAGCCAGTTTGCAAAATGATGATTTCAGAAGCATAACTTGTCATGGAATAAACACATCGGAAGGCTTTTCTGACTGAATAGGTCTGCTGTCTTAATCTATCTTCTACAAAACTGGAACACTCTGACCTTGTCGTTGAAAACTCACTTCAATTCTTCACAATATCAAACCAGCCACCTTGGAGGCTCAAATGATAAGATCGGATGTCTCGGACATGAACTGATATATAACTTGCATAGACCTCGGTGATCCAATTAACAAGCATTCAGCAACACATGCAATTGCTCAGCTGAATGTGATCCACGAACGTGAATGTGGATAATTCTTTTGATTCCTTGGATGTCAATCAGCCTCGGCCCAATTGACAAGCATAAAAAAAGAAAACACGGGCCAATGAGACAAAGGTTTCGTAACAAAAGCTCCTACGTTTGGATCAACTCCAGGCACTGCCGTTTCTTAGCGCATCAATTAAGCAAGTTTCTTGAGTTGAGTGGCCGAGCTAAGTCGAAACGAGCAAGGACATGGCTGAGAACAAAGAAGCTGTAGACGTCATAAGCATGGCAATCAATCACCACAACGAGTCTGACACTTTAACCGGGAGGGTTAGTGATAACCCCTCTGCTAAGTAATACAACCAGCCAAGACCAGGTACTAGGGTCAAGGTAGAGTTCTCAATGGTCTCGTGTGAGCGGGGGAGTTGCAGTGAGATCGGTGATGTTGATGGTATTATGACGTCCAAACCCTCTCATTTACAGTTCATCCATTATGTACAGTTACCAACCTCCCCCATTGAGAAGAATTGGGTTTACTAATAAATCACTCATTTATTGACACTAACTAGAGGTTGTACTATACTTAAATGGTGCTGCATCCCCTCGTCGACATTGACCATCCTGTGCTCGTCTATCACTAACTACCTCTCTCTGACACTCACACTCACTGTCTGTGATCATCAATGGCTCCGCTCAGTTCCCCGCAAGATCTCGGCTTGGGTGCCATCCTCGCCAGAGCCCTCTCTTCTCCAACGCTGTCTCTTCCTCCAACTCTAGTGGCTCGGCAAAACACAGAGACCGTCACTGTTACTGCATCCGGCGACAATGGCAACAGTGCCCAAACATTGAGCGGAGGTGCAATTGCCGGTATCGTCATTGGTTCAATTGCTGGCTTTCTTCTCCTCCTCTGGGTCGTTCGGTCCTGTCTCAATTTGGGCGCACCGCCTCAGGAACGCGAGAAGTGGTATCACTACAAGGAGGAGCCTCGACGACATTCACATCATCATCGCTCTCGAAGCAGACGATCCCATCGATCAAGCATCTCTGCACCTCCTCCACTTGTTGTTAGAGAATCGAGATCACGAAGCCATCGCCGTGGCCGATCGCCTGGATATTATGGAACTGATCGCAGCACACGATATTACGTATAAGTCCGACGCGACCGACACGACAATAAGCGTTTGCAACAGAGCGACCTCCGCTTTGATACCTCGTGATACTTTTACAGAACATCCATTCAATTGATCAAAATCGGTCCGATAAGCGGACAGGACTTACGGCGTACGGATATGCTTGGCACGTCATGCAACATCACGACTTATGAGATGAAATCATGAATCACGTCACGACGGAGAAAGAATTACACGCATACGAAGGCACTGGATACACACGAGTAATTTGTTACCATCTCTTGTTATATATCATGGTTATGAACGCCCAAATTTTCTACTTAATCTTCAATTACACATAATGATGGCCCCAACCACGTCCAACCCTTTCAAGCACAAAACAAGGCTTGACAATATCATCTCGCACGTGCAATCATAATTAAGCATAAATGACAACGTGACGCTCGTGTCGCCTCGTCAACGTCGTAATCGGGCGAAGCCGTCCACGTCAATGTGACATTTGACAGCTCGATCGTGGCGCCGCAATACTCGAGTTGATATCCACAAGCCATGAGCTTCATTTAGACTAGCTGAACCCTGCTGAATTCCAGATCCTCCGACTCCAACTCCCCGTGCATAACCCCATAAACATAGGCGTCGCCAACCAGACTTAATGACGTTTCTGAACCTGAAACTCGACGGAATACATGTGGAACTTCAGCGCCTTGCAATATGCCCACTTCGTCACCAACCTGAATAGTCTGGGGTGCAAGCCCAAGATGCCCTCTCTTCGTTCGAAAGAGACTTCTTTTGTGTGCTGCAGAACCCCAGTCAAGCTGTATCAATGAGGTTCGAGCCTTGAAATTCTGACCTTGAGACTCTGTGGGCTCAGACTCTAACTCCATCTGTTCCTTTACTTTGCATATTTGTCTGTAAGGGTGTAGTAGACTTGACAACAAGTCTCCACGGTCCTGAATCCCTATCAAAAACAAAGCTTTGGAAAGACTGACCTCGGGGTTTTTGACCAGTTGGTATACCATATCTGGGTTCTCTGAAATGCTCAGCCACAGCATGCCGTATGTCATTTCCCCAAATTGACTAACAAAGTCATACGAATCATAGTCATATATCCCTGCTTGATCTGCCGTCAGGGTTCTGGCCATTACTGACAAGAAATTGTCTTCTCCGAACGTCTTGACAGGAAATGGGTTCAGAGCGAGATTGAGAATTTCAATCATCTGAGAATAGCCCTCTATATCTTCCCAGTATGCAGTTGTGACGGCAGTAATCGTATCAAAATAAGAATATGGCGAACAGATAGCGTGTGGTGAGTTGATATCGTACTCGATGCAGACTTGTTGGTGAGTTGCTGTATTGAAATTATCTTCACTTCGTCTTTGAAGAAGCCTCCAAGGAATAGCTTG